AATTTGCAAAGAGGGTGGTCGGTTGCGTACATTACGACATTTTTATGTATCTAACACTGTACACTTGTATATGGAGAGATCATATTTCCGTTGTGTACATCTGAGGTAAGCTTTACCTCTTTGTTTTCTTTCTTTATGTTCAGATTAGATTGCATCCCTTGGGTTGCTTGCAATCTAACATTGCAAATCTGAAACTAGGGTTGCAATGTAAATATTAGGGATTCAATAGTGTCATAATTCATAATTTTGCTTAACAGTTTGAAAAATTGTTGAAATTCTACAGTTGTCATCTTATTTATCAATACAATAAAGATGACTTTCTATTTAAATTTTAATTACTACCAAGCTTTTAAATAGCGGAAACATTTAAACAGTTGATGAAAGAGAAACTGTCAAATAGAAAATTCTCTTTGTTTTTTTTAAACTTGTAATTCAAATAATGTCTTTTTGATGGTTTTTGGATACACAGGGACAAACTGTAAATCAAAACATTATTAATAAAGGGTTGTCTTCATTGTATTGATATTATCGTCAAACACTGAATTTTTTTTAACATTTTACGGTAAACCTTCACATGAGTTGCCACAAAAATGTGGGTCCTATTGGTTTAACTGATTTGATGTTAATTGAAAACAAACAGGAAGGCAAAGAATATAAATTGATTGTCCTTAATCTCTTTTAATTTTCAACCAAAAAAAAAACAAAGATTAATTTTATATTTTTAAACCATATAACACAACTTTTTCGGAAATAATTATGATTCCTCATCTTCAGAGCTGGAACCAAAGTAATTCCTCTGCATAATATCTGAAAAAAAGTTTTAATTTTTGAACTGAGACAGGTAGGTTAGAAAAGAACTAAAATTTATAGGAAAACCTTTGCAATGTAAGATGAAAGGATTAAAAGTTTAACCTTGAAAGGTTTGGGGTGAATATTTAGTGGCATCATGCACCCTGCACCTGGACAAAACTTTTTTTCTGGGTTTTATTGAACCCTGAAACTGCTTCCTCTCAATACACTATAATTGTTAAAACATTTTGTAGCAAATTGTAAATTAATTGATACGTAGAAATAAATATGTAGATTTTAAAAAGTATTCCCCATCTCCTTTGATTTTCTACAAGTACAGAAGTTCATTCTTTACATACATTTGCCTATCCAATCTTTACAGCTTCTATAACTTTCTGTAAAGGGTAGTCTTTATTTGTCTAAAGGATCTCCTCAGTTGTTATATTATTCAAGCCAAGTTGTTACCAACTAGTCCAAGGATCTCCTATTGATAAGATTGGTTACTCTGGATGGAGGCAAGTATGAACTGACTGTTTTATAAATGACATGGTTAAACTAATTACACAAAGCAATCTCTTTATTTCAAAACATTTTTTAGTTTCATAAACAGTTTTATGAACAATTTCAAAAACAATTATTTGCAAAATTGCAAAAACATTTCAATTGTCAATTTCACAAACAGTTTAATTATCAATTTCATTAACAGTTTTATTATCAATTTCATAGACAGTTTAATTATCAATTTCATAAACAGTTTCATTATTTCATAAACGGTTTAATTTTCAATTTCATAAACAGTTAAATGAATACACTGAAACACCTGTAAATATTATTGTTAAACATTTTCATAAAAGAACTCTTTAATTTTGAAATGGACGAAATTTATCTTTGTTCTCCTCGAAAAAAACTTTCAGATCAGAAATCCTCCACAAGGCAAGATGTTGGTTTCTAGAAAAAAGGTAATACAAATTTTATTTTTGCTGTAAAATTGTTCTATATTGTCATTTTCAAATCTTTAAAAAAGCATTATTAAATTATTTTAATGTTTACTTTAAAAGAAAGAAACATTAAATGTAAAATTGGTATTTTTATTAGTGCGTCCTTATTGATGAAAATGTAAAGACCACTTCCTCTGCTAGTGCGTCCCCATTGATGAAAATATGAATACTATTTCTTTGCTAGTGCGTCCTCATTGATGAAAATATGAAGACCAATTCCTCTGCTAGTGCGTCCTTATTGATGAAAATATGAAAACCACTTCCTCTGCTAGTGCGTCCTCATTGATGAAAACATGAAAACCACTTCCTCTGCAAGTGCGTCCTCATTGATGAAAATATAAATACTACTTCCTCTGCAAGTTTGTCATTACTCGTGAATATACAAAGACTACTTCCTCTGCTAGTGCGTCCTTATTGATGAAAATATGAAGACTACTTTCTCTGCCAGCGCGTCCTTATTGATGAAAATATGAAGACTACTTTCTCTGCCAGTGTGCGTCCTTATTGATGAAAATATGAAGACTACTTTCTCTGCCAGTGCGTCCGTATTGATGAAAATATGAAGACTACTTCCTCTGCTAGTGCGTCCTTATTGATAAAAATATGAAAACTACTTCCTCTGCTAGTGCGTCCTTATTGATGAAAATATGAAGACCACTTCCTGTGCTAGTGCGTCCTCATTGATGAAAATATGAAGACTACTTCCTCTGCTAGTGCGTCCTTGATGAAAATAGGATGAAGACTACTTCCTCTGCTGATGCGCCCTAATTGATGAAAATATGAAGACTACTTCCTGTGCTAGTGCGTCCTCATTGATGAAAATATGAAGACTACTTCCTCTGCTAGTGCGTCCTTGATGAAAATAGGAAGACTACTTTCTCAGCTAGTGCATTCATATCGATAAAAATATGAAGGCTACCTATTCAGCTGGTGTGTCTTCATTGATTAAAATATAAAGGCTACTTCCTCTGCTAGTGCGTCCTTATTGATGAAAAAATAAAGACTACTTCCTCTGTTAGTACGTCCTTATTGATGAAAATATGAAGAATACTTCCTCTGCTAGTGCGTCCTTATTGATGAAAAAATAAAGACTACTTCCTCTGCTAGTGCGTCCTTATTAATGAAAATATGAAGACTACTTTCTCTGACAGTGCGTCCTAATTGATAAAAATATAAAGACTACTTCCTCTGCTGGTGCGTCCTTATTAGGGTTGGTAACGTTTTGATTTTTGAAAAAAACGATCGTTTCGTTAAGAAAACGTCGAGGAAAATCGAAAAACGAAACGATCGTTTTTAAAAACGATCGTTTTTTTAAAAAGTTCGTTTTTTAAAAACTGTCGTTTTTTAAACGATCGTTATAAAAAACGATCGTTTAAAAAAACGATCGTTTTTCAAAACGATCGTTTTTATAAAGTTCGTCGTTTTGTTAACGATCGTTAACGACTACCCTTCGTTAACGATCGTTAACGACTACCCTTCGTTAACGACTACCCTTTGTTAACGATCGTTAACGACTACCCTTCGTTAACGACTACCCTT